CTGGCTTTACGTTTTTAATAGAGGAATTTATTGTTTTTAAATGCAGACTGCAGAATAGTTGTAGAAGTTGTTTTTTGTTTTTCTTTTCCAAAATGTATCAGGTTCTAAGTCTGAATATGTGATTCATGTACATCGTAACGTTGACCCTATGCTACAGGTATTCTGTGCCTTATTAAACAACTGCAGAGGGCCGGGCACAGTGGCTCAGGCCTGTAATCCCAGCACTTTAGGAGGCCGAGGCAGGTGGATCACCTGAGGTCAGGAGTTCAAGACTAGCCAGGCCAACATGGTGAAACCTGTCTCTACTAACAATAAAAAAAAAATCAACCAGGTGCTGTGGCAGGCGCCTGTAATCCCAGCTACTCGGGAGGTTAAGGCAGAATTACTTAAGCCTGGGAGGCAGAGGTTGCAGTGAGCCAAGATTGCACCACTGCACTCCAGCCTGGGTGACAGAGTGAGACACCATCTCAAAAAAATAAAAATAAAAAATTTAAAAAATAAAATAAACAACTGCAGAGGGGATGCTGACACCAGAATGTTGTTATAAAATATTCATGCCAGAAACAAGAACAGAGCAGCATTCAGCAAAAGAGGAGTTCCAAGTCCTTTCGCTGCTGGAAGGTCCACACGCTCACCCAGATCCTATCAGACAGAAGGCCCTCTGCACTCCTTAACGGACCACCGCAATGGCCGTGTCCAGCCCAGCAGGCTGAAATCAAAGTCTAGTTTACTGAAGAAATCCCTTGGGTTTCAAGATTCTGTTAACACATGGTAACAAACATCTAAATAAAAACTGAAAAATGTGGTGTCGTGACATTTATCTTTAGGAAAATAAACAGATATTCAGCATCATCCATACAACTTGCCATCTTTGCTCTGGATCTCTGCTATCAAAGGAATGAAATATGTTTTAAAAACTGGATATATAATAGGTTCTAGCAAAAGGCTTAAAAACAAGCAAAACTGAGCGACAACTCTGGTAACATGACCCTGGAGCCCATTGCTTTACAGAGAAACAAATTTCCCCCGCACCTGTAAGACACTAGTATCAAACTACATTTCCAGAGAGCGCTTTCCCAAAGTTAGGATTCTGAATAATGCCATTCTACATAAATACTACATAGATTTTAACAGAGAAATGACTGCATCCTCTGCTCTATGGCCTGAGAAAAGGTGTTAATTAGAAAAAGTTAAAAAGTGGTCCCTGGCCTGCGCCAGCCGGGCGCGGTGGCGCACGCCCATAATCCCAGCACTTTGGGAGGCCGAGGCGGGTGGATCACGAGGTCAGGAGATCAAGACCATCCTGGCTAACACAGTGAAACCCCGTCTCTA